TTTTAATTCATGCTGTTATTTAATTCATTTCCTATGTGTGAACCACAACTCACCAACATTATTATTTTATCTGATTGCAGATTAAACTTTTCTCTACTATTCAATCTATTGTGAGAAACAAATTCAAGCAATTCTTACATTGTTTCTGTTTTGTAAAAGAATTTTAATACACTTTTGATATAATATTAAACAGATGATATAATTTTCAAAAATGGACAAGTAGGTAATTCTTGTGATTATGTCCGTGAATTGTATAGTTTTATTTCCTCACATTTTCTTGCAACATTTTATTAGAAATAAGTAGATTTCCGTCTGCTTTTCAAACTTTAATATGGCATTGAATTACAATTTATTGATTTATTACTTTTTACACAAAGTATGCTTGGCTGATTCTAGTGAGTATGTATTTTTATTTACAATCCATGCTGTTTACTGATGGCCATAGTTTTGAATAGTTCAGGATGAAAAGCAAGTAAAATTATGATGAAAGCTATATTAGTAAAATTTAATAAAAGATGACATAGCTTTGCAGAATGGAAATTAAAGATATTATGACTAATGGCCGTATAATGAGCCTGAATAGATGAAAGAAATACTAGTCAAAAATTAATAATGATCTTGTGTCACTATTTAGATTTAATTTCAGAATCCTTCTTTTTGACTGTCTATCTGGATAAGAGAGTTAAGTTTCTTATTTTTACTCTCTCTCTCTCTCTCTCTCTATATATATATATATATATATATATATATATATATATATATAAAGAACAGTAAGATATATAATCCAGTGTTCTTATTGATATTTTTTATTTTATTTTTACAAAACAGTGCTCAATGTAAATTTACAGAGCATAAATATTATAAATTAACTGATTTAAAATATGGTTTTCTCGTTACACAGTAATAAGCATGTTTCAAAAACTGAAGCTAAAAACTTCAAATTATATAATTAAATTAAAAGCATTAGTTCTGTTTCATCTTCAAGCGAATTTTGGAATAAATTATTTTTTAAATTTACTGAGTTTTAAATGCACATATAAATTCATAATTTCCTGTTTCCAAGGATACAGAGAAATCTAATCATTCAGACAGGACTGGTAGTGTGTTCATTTTTATTAACTATTGTTGTATCAATTATGAGTTACGTTCGAAAAAGAGGTTAAGTTTAGCGAGGGTAAGGGTGTATTTTTCAATGAATCCATGTATGTGCATATATATATATATATATATATATATAGGAGGCATGGTGGAGTAATGGATAGCAGCTCTGATTGAGGAATCTGAGATCTGAGTTTGAATTCCACTCAAATCTATTACATTCACTTATGTGTTAATACCCTTGGGAAAGGTATGAATCCTTTTCTTCTCCCCTAGCAAGACAGACTGGGTTCTGTAGCATTGGATGGCTACTGGTCCAGGAGAAGGACAATTCTGAATTCAAAACCTGTGAAGGGTTGTTTGGGGACCTTGTGGCACATGGTGCACCAGGTCGCTGTATTTGGCTCTTCAAAAAGTGTGGTTGGTTCTGCACAAATCCTTCACCACTATAATCAAATCATTTGTGCAGGTTGTATGGCTGTCAGTTCCTAGGATTGTAAAAGAGATCCTGGTAGATGCGTGTCAACAGTCAGCATTGATCAACGATGGGATAGTCTGCAAGATATATATATATATATATATATATATATATATATATACACAAAAATTTTTGTTTTTTGCTTTTTTTTTTTTTTTTTTTTTTTTTTTTTGTATCATTTCACTCTAAGCAAGGCAGCAGAGCCCCAAACACATAGGGTAAGGTTTACTGAGTCTGAAGGAATATAAGAAAAACATTAAGGTGTGAGAGCAATAAAAGAACAGAATAAACTTATCAAATGTTATCAAAAAATAAATCTGTTTCTTTCCAATCTCACCTTTCCTGTAAAAATTACTGCTTTACACAATCATAAAAATGTTAAAAAAAATGAAAAGAAAACAGTTAAAATCCATTACATGATGTTTTTGAAGATGTACAGCACATACATAAAAATCTGATCACAATTTAAACAATATTCATTTATTAAAAAAAAATATTAAAAAGTATTTTTTGAATATCACTTGCTCACTTCTGTCAGACTTTGAATCATGGCGCTTTGTGTCTTCCATATGTTTTGACTGGCCTTTAACCACCTGATTAATATTCATGAATGTTCTTAAATTCAAAAGTTTTGATAAAACAATGATATCCTTGCTCTTGTATATAAATATGTGCAACAATATAAATCTTTACATTTAACTTGATAAAGTCCCTCAGAGAATGAAACATGTCAGCTAAGAATAGTTTTTCCTCATCTTTTTATTCATATATTTCTGAGCTGAATGTCTTTGTAAGGTATTTTAGGTTATTCTTTGGAAAAAGTTTTGTAGTGAAAGGAAAATTTGGGCATTTTTGGCTACGGCGTTTGTTGGGAGAGTAATCTGTGACAAATTTGCTTTGAGAACGCTTACACTTACAAGTTTGTAGGACTGGTTAAGTTTCTCTCATAGTCTAGAATAATTTTGAATCTTTCATATTTAAAATAAGAAAAAGAATCTATATAAAAATGCTTGTTTGGTGCTGCATAAGAGTGAGAATGTGCAAAAGGAAACATGTTTATAATCTTGAATGTTTCATTTGCCATTGTATGAAATGATCCAATAAGAAGCTTGAAAGCTATTTTAACCTGTACAACCTATGGTAACTAGATCCATCAATATATATATATATATATATATATATATATATATATATATATATATGATTTGTAAATTAGCAGGTTTTGTCCTTGGGACAATTTATGATTCTATGATTATCAGAAAAAAAGATCAGCTAATCCTCTTTGTGAAACGGGTGGATTATCTCAGCTCATTTTGATTGATTGCCTTTGTTGATGTCTTAGCTGTTAGGTATTTTGTTTTGGTAATGCAGTGCAATACTGGCTGAGCATTTTGGTAGAGAAGAGTTGCAGTTGATTTTATTTATTTGCAGCTAAATCATGAAATTACAACGTTTAAATAATGTTCCAGAAAGAAATTATTAAAATCCAGTATCTGTATGTGTCATTAAAATTTGAAAAACAATTTGAATCTGTCTATATTTCTGAGATGAGGTATTACGTACACTATTTACATTGCTCGGACTATTATCCTCATCTTTGTTGCCATATTTAACACAACGTTTCTGCTGTTGTACACTCCGGCCTTCTTCAGGTGGTTGGAATGTTGAACTTAACCCTTTATTTCGCCTTACTTTCGTAGACTGTTCTAGTTCCACGTGCCATGTCTAATGAATGTCAGTTATCAGTTATCTCCTGTTATCCAAGTTCTCCACTTGGTTCTCCAAAAAGTTCTTGTGTTACGGTGAGATGTCAGGACCAATAATAGTGCAGATTCTTTGGATTTTATCAAGAATCTCTAAATATGTAGCAGGAGCACTGAACCAGATGTAGCAGCAATATTCAAAGCAAGGACGAATGGTAGACTTATAAATATGTAAGATAGATTCTGGTGAGAAAGATTGTCTAGCATGACACAGTGAACCAACTTTCATAGCTGCAGACTTAGCAATTGATTCAATATATTCTTTTCACTTCATATCTGCTGAAAATTTCAGTCCAAGAAGGTACAATGAATCACTCTCTTGGAGGTTAGCATCAGCCATGCCGATAGAAGATAAAGAGTTCTCTCAGATGATTAAAAGAGAACAGTTTTATTTGGAAGTGTTAAAATTAACAAGCCACTCCTTACCCCATTTAATAACAGATTGTAGGTAATTTGTTTTTTTATGTTTGACCTTACTTGATCAGACTTAAGACAAGAGTAAATAGTTGTCATCAGCATAGATACAGATTTGAGAACTGATGACATCAGAAAGGTCATTGATGAAAATTAGAAACAATATAGGTCTAAGGGTAGAGCTGTGGGGAGGGGGACACCTGCATTTATGCAAAAAGATCTAGAAGTCATATGTAATTATTTTAAACTAAATTTATTTAAATGTCTTGATAGACTTTAAGATTTTTGAGCATTCAAATCGGAGTGCGATTGTAATTTAAAACCTTTCCAAGAGTTGGTTAACCTTTGCTAAAAGTTTGCTGGTTAATATTTCTCAAAGCTGAAAAATGGCATTGGCACATTAAGAAACAGGGTTTTTGAACTCATTTAGCTATCTATCAACATCTGGCTGTGTCTGTCCTAAATTCTACTGTTCTATCTTCTGCCTTCCAAATCTTTTTTTCCCCCATTGCTTAAAAAAAGCAAACAAACAAAAGTGTGTGTGTGCATATATATATATATATATATATATATATATATATATATATATATATATATATATGTGTGTGTGTATATATATATATATATATATATGCACACATGCACTCTCAAATCCGGTTGTATGAGAGTGGGACACTAAGTGTTCTTTTTGTTCAACCCATCTCCGAAGCAAAAATTTTCTAGTCACGTTTCCTTGTCTCATTCTTTTTCAAACTAAGCAAATTTTGTGTGGTAAATGCTCTCTGCAATTGAGCAGGATCATTTAGCAAGAATGACATCATTTCAGAATTGAAAGCCTACAACACCCACACCCACTTTCCTCCTTCCTTTGGGAAACACTCTGTGTTAACATATAGCATCCACCCTTCGTGTTTGTTAATCAGATGATCGGCTACAGGATTTGAGAGGGTTATGTGGGTCAACTCGTTTGGGCATTGTTTTGTCTTTGCATCTGGGAACATTTTAAAAAACGACCGCTCTCTTGCTACTTGAAGTTGGTGGCCAGTTATTGTTATCATGTTTTTGCTTCACAAAAAAACAAAATGAAAGTTCAATGGGTCTTTAGATCTGAGTTCACTTTCAGATGGGGGTTAATATTTTAAAGGATTTTTTCTCCCTCCCACCACAGAAAAAAAATGTTTGTAAAATTCATGTCATTTATTTCAAACAACTCTCTTTATAAATTTTTAGATATAGAATTGATTGGCTTATGGCCATATCAGGTTGAAACACCAGTTCCCATACAATCATTGGAGTTGAGCAACATCAAGCTGGTTCAGTACCTAGTTGGGTGACTGCTTGGGAATACCAGGTGGTGTAAGATTGGATGTGTGGGCGATGTAATGGATAATGGCTTGAAATTGTTAATTGAAGAGCTGAGTTTCAATTTCAATTCCAGTCAAGATTACTTACATGCAAATACACTTGGGAAAGGGAGGAATCTTCCTCTTGTACCCCAGCTATGGGTTAATTAGTAGGACGTGTGTCAGTAAATCATTATCTCCCCCCCCAAATTCTTACAATCTAAAAATATTTTCAGGCTTTAAATAACCAGTAAACTGTTGATAAACCATAAAAAACAAATCAATCAATCAATCAAATCAGAATTTGTGTGTTTTATATATATATATATATAAATTTTGAACAATAAAAAATCTTAAAAGATTAAAATTTTCAAACACACTGGGTTGTATATTAATATTTTTTGTTTTATTATTTCAATTAGGTTCTTCAACTAGTTTCGGCCAACATGGCCATTATCAGGAGAAAAAAAAAATTTCTGCTTCTTAGTAGCAGTGAACTACAGGAGTGAATGACTGTCTTTGAAGAAAATGAACTTTATCTGTAATTTTCATTTGTTTTTTTTTTTTATCATTAATTTTGGTCAGTCCTTGTGTTGGTCAAATGGCCTCTTTCAAGTTGTTTTTAAGATAGAGGCTGAGGAGATTCATGTGACTCAGAATTTCCTTCTTGGTCATTTTGACAGTTTTATTGGTTGCTGTGTGGGGGATGTGTGTACTAAGTGTATGTTATCTTTTAATTCTTTGGGAGTGTGTATGATGTGTGTAAGTCTATATATCAGTAAGAGTGTGTATATAAGTGTGAGACCTCAACACCTCTGTAAGCATGTCTGTCTTGTGTGGGTAAGAAATATGTGTAGGGCTTGATTTATAGGGTTATATATTAATTCTATTGATGTTAAATTTGTGATTAAACCCATCTGCGGAAAGTTTTTTGAGGCACAAAATCCAATTGTTTTCATGTTCTAATATTTTTCTCAGCTTATTTTTCCTGTTTATTTCCATTTTTTTCAATTATGGTGAAAATATATAATGTGTGTGTGTGCATGATGGGCTCTTCCATCAATTTCTACATATGAGGATTAGATAACCTCATTCAGTTTTTATGTTTGTGTCATATGTGACCTGCATACAAATTCACATTTGGTGCAACAGCAACAGTCTCGGGACATAGCAACAGGAATATCTGTTGACACTTACTTTTCACCATCGTCTTTCACCTCTTAGGTCAATATGACTAATTTTTAAAATTTCTGATACAACTCTAGAACAAATATCTCCAGTTATTACTATCCAGGGCAACTCACTTGAAGTTAGTATGAGATACATACTGCCCCACACAGATGTGGCACAAAGCTGAATTTAATGTGGGGTTCCCAAGCCCGTAGGCTCAGCTAAAAATTCCCTGTTGACCTTGTATAAAACGGAGTTTGGTAGGCGTTTCCTGAGCTCTTTGGCATAGCCCTGTCTGGGGATGCTCTCTGCCCAGAGGCAGAGAGCTTAACCAGCCCAACTGAAGACAACACAGGTACCCACAGGTACAGTATTCACTATTGTATTTATGGGGATGGAGGCATAACCATCATCTACAGAAATGCTACAGCAATAATATAAATACATATAGTTAAATATACAAGAACTATATGATGAAACAAATCCTGGATTCCTTTTTTAGATAAACAATATGATTTTTTTTTTTTCTCTATATTTTATCTTACGTTTTTATAAAATTTACCTGTATACATTTGCTAGCACTACTTAAACCAACCAGTCCACTAAAAAAAAAAAAAAAAAAAAAATATAGGGAAAAATCTTTTTTGAAACAATTTTTTCAGATTAGCATTCTTTAAGAATTCATCAGAATTGAAAAATATTGAATAGTGGTTCATAACTGGGATACAGTGTAAAATTTCAAATTACTTTTCAGGATCATAGATTTCTTGATAGATCTTATTACTGAAGCCTTCATCTTGTTTTATAGAACTAGACAGTAGCTTTTGGTGCTTATTTATTAGAAATATTAGAATACATATATTGAATACTCTGCACCAAAAAACAAAACTGACAAGTAAAGGAAAGATTATGTTGGGAGGAAAATTAATAGTAAATATTTACTGTAATTCCTTATGTATAATACACATTTAATATTTACTGTAATTCCTTATGTATAATACACATTTAAGAAAAAAAAAAAAAAGAAGCAAAATTAGAGGTGCGTATTATGCACAGCTACAAAAGCATTAAAAAAATTGCTGTTTCATAGGTTGATTTCAGATGTGAAATGACTACTCACCACAAACACACGACAATTTGACACTAACATTTGGCAATTGCAACCCCATAAGGATGTCAAATACAATCATACGTACCTAACAATACTTATAAATGTAAAATAAAATAATAATTATCTTAAAACTAAATTAGAATAATATTAGTCTATGTTTAAAACCATTTTCTTTTAATAAGAGTAGGAAACACTGGCCATAATGAAATTGGAGAAGTACAATTTATAAGTTTTGATTACCAAACAAGGGGTGCATATTATGCATGAGTAGAAGCATTTTCCCACACTTTCAGCAAAATTTTAGTGGTGTATATTATGGATGAAGGTGTATTATACATGGAGAATTACAGTAACTGTTATAAATTTGTCTTTCTTTAACCCTTTTACAATTAACTGATGACACATTTAGCAAATAGAAATTTTACTTGCCAGTTGCATGTTTATGATGTCACTATATAACAGCTGCACTAAGTTTAAAATGGATTTGAATGTGTGAAATATAAACTGTAACTTTAGATAACACTGGATTTTAAAAATGACCTGAAGCAGGGATGAAAATACTTGATAACTAACATTCAGAAAATATCTATAATCACCGGGGACAAATATATTCTCAAGAAATTAACACAAAAACAAAATGGTCCTTGCTGCGTGCGCGCGCGCGCGTGTGTGTGTTTTAATGAAACCAGTATCAGTAATCATAATAAAAAGTATTGATCTCTGTTTATGACCTTTGAAGTTGTTTTTATGAAAAGAGTAATAAATTTGTGGAGTGTCTTGTAAAATATTATTGATATTTTTGCTAACCAAATGAGACATTTAAGAGGATAATACAAATTCGTTTTAATGGATTATTTCTTGTTGGAAGCTGTTTGAAACGTTTGCTTGAGCTGTTGAAAAGTTGTTTATCAACCTGCAGTGTTCTGATAAAAAGCAACAAGGAAAGGATGGAATAAAGTTAATTGTCACTAATAGCTTTCTGCTTGCTTCTCCTTGTGTTTGAATGTTTAGTTTTTAGTAATGACCTAAGGGAAATATTCTTCTTGTTTGTATGTTAAACCTGCTGACAGAACCTACTTGGGTAGTAAAATTTAAATTCAGTGAATCCTGTTGTGATTTGAATCTCTGACTAAGGTGGACAGGAAAATATACATATATTTTTAGCTAATATTCTGCTGCTTGAATGTAAGGTGAAATTAACTTTTTAATGTTTAGTTTTTAGACACTATCAAAATGATCTCCCCACCTTTTTTTTTTTTTTTAAATTGTGTCCCTTCAGGACATAGGCAATCATGTCTATTCTGGATTTTTCTTTATTATCTATAGATTGCCATACATTCTTGGGAAAGTGGTGTGGTTTCCGGTTAAAATGAAAAATGTTAAATTTAGTTTTTATTATTTTGAATGAACAATGTTATTTGAAAAATAAAAGTGATGAATTCAAATAAATACAAGCCTTAAAAAAGAACACTTTATATTTTCAAATTTACTGTATATTAAAATACTATATTAAAATACTATATTATAATACTATATTATAATATTTACTGTATATTAAAATAGTAGAACAGTGGCCTAATGTCTATATCATTTGTCAACTTATCTCTGGGTAAGTGATTTGAATATCACCAAATTTCCAGGAGTCCAGCTTATAAAATAATTATATTAAAGTATTTTTATTTATTTATTTAAAACTTCTTTTTCACCTTGTTAGATAAGTACTGAGTGGTCCAAAAGTTTTGTCACCTCTCTTTCAAACAGTAGGCGCTTGTGTCACCCATCTGAAATGGGAAATTATATTATGTACAGGTGACAAGACTTTCGGACCACCCTGTATAGTTATTGGACTGAATAAAGTGTTTTTTTTTTTCTGTGTAAACCCTTCTTTATTTCTTTTGTTAATTGCTTTGTTATGCACCTTCCAAGCTACAGAGCTGTACTACTAGACACATAACAATAGTACCTCCATCCACCAGTGCCAGTGTGTACTACTCCTAGAATGACTGGTGGGGGTTGCAAGTCTGATAGGTGGCCCTGGGCAGTGCTTTGTAACCCTAACTACCTGATCAACATTTGCACAGCTGATTATTAAAGGATAAAAAATTTTTGCAGTTTTTGGTGTCATCCCGGGTGTCTTTTTTTTTTTTTTTTTTTTGCTAAATTCTGTGAATTTGTTTTGCCCATGCTAAGTCAAAAAAAAAAAAATATATATATATATATAATATATATAATTCACATTTTTATGCACAATGTTGAATGTATAAAAATTATTGAACATTTTAACAAAGAAAATCAAGTTGATGTTAAAAGTTGCTGCAAAACATTGTTGATTTATTTAAGATGGAATGATCTTTTATGACATGTCTCTATATTGCATATGATCCATTATTGTACATTATTAGGTTTCAATAAAATTTGTATTTTATATAAAAACTACCTTATGAAAATTGATATGTAGTAGAGTGGAGGCCCCTCGTTTTATAGATTTAGGGGGAGGCACAAAACCCTTGCCCCAGCCCGATATCTACCATTATATTTGATGGTATGTAACCCCTCACCACTTTTCTATCCCCACCAAAGTAACTCCTTTTAAAACTGAGCAGCCTGGTAAGTTAATGTTTAACCAGGCAGTAAGACTATCAGTTCTTGTATTTAGTAAAACTCTATAATTTACATCTATAAAATGTGATGTGCATTCACACACAAACACACTAGGGATGCTGAAAAGTTCTTGGC